TGTGCAAGGGCTGCGTGAGCTGACAGTGTGAGTCATTTGAAACTCACTGTTGTCATAGGCACAATGGATGTGCCCTGGTAGGTTATTTGGTAGGCAGGGCAGAGGACTAAGTATTCATTCCATCTAGCTATCCATCTCTTCCTCTCTCTCTCCCTCCCTCTCTCTCTCATCTATCATCTAACTTAGAAATATTTCTCATAACTTAAGAAAACTGTTAGCTCAATGTATTTTAAAATAAAAATGACAGAAGAGAAGGAAAGAAACACGTTAAATATTACAATGAAAATTGTTATGATGATATCTCTGAGGTACCTACAAGTAAAAAGAAAACATCAAATGCAGGCTAGATTATAAGTAAATCTCATGTAAATTACTATAAATAAGGCACATAAGGAAGAGGCCTCCTTCTCTTACCCACTTCAATCCGTACACCTGTCCTTAGTTGGAAATATGATCATGGGCATCATATTTTTAGAGAATTATTTACATTAATTACAGTAAAGTATGGTATACATCTAATTTTAGTGACTTCTATTGTGTTGTGTGTTATTTTGTGGCCACAAAAATGTAAGAAACTGTATGATAAACAGCATTTTATAAAAATGAAAAATGAAAGCGTTTTACCAGTTTTGAAGTTAGACATAAATAAACTTGTTTTTCCACAGAGGATGGTTGTTTTGGTTACTGATTGGTATTACTTTTCAAGTGATACTTGAAAAAAATAAGCCTACTTTTCATATATCCTGCTGAACGTCGAGGAACGGTGTGAACGTCGTGTGCCTCATGTAAACCTCAGTGTTGTAATCCTCACCGGATGGTCAGCGCACAGCTGAGCGTCAGGCTGGACGGGCTGTTCACGATGTGCGGTGGAATCAGATCCATAAATCTATTCAAAAATTATTACATTTTGTACTAAGCCCTTTTAAAAGAAGTCACAAAAATCCTACAGCAACTGAATAACTCTGTGTGTAGAAGGGCATCCAAATGAGAGACGGAACCCCCAAAATTCTATAATTCAGCCAGTAGCCAAAACAAAAAAATAGACATATTGTTTCAGCTAGGTTTCCCTAAGTGTCCATTTTGCCTTGTTTTAAACATAGAATTATTTATAAATCTTAAAGATTTTGAAGTAATATTGTGAAGATTTTTCATGTATGTTAATGTGTATTTAGTTTGTCAACATACATGATACGATTAAAACATTAAAGTAAGAAAATAAGACCTATTTTGCTCCAGCTCTACTGAGTGGAAGAATGCAGTAAAACATTCTCGTAACTTGCTATAGTTTGCCATCAAATTAAAGTGGAAATTTGCAAACATCTCTAAACAATTGTGGGGAAGCTCACATGTGGAATCACAGGAAGTGTTTCACTATTTACCTGTAACGAAGTCTCTGTCTTGGGTCTAGCATGCATCTCAACATGACACAGGGAGAAAAATTTAAGGAGCTTTGAAACATCTCCTGGGACTTGCAATCCCTTAAGGAAAAGATGACAGTTTCTTCATTATCCCTAAAGTATTTGAAAGTCTAACAAGATGCCTGAAGGTTTTGTTCCCTAATTGTCAGGGGCAATTTTATTCACAGGTAGGAGGGAATACTCAAGGATGAGAAAGAGTTTACATTAGGGACTTTCTCCTACAATTATGGAGGCTAGGAAATGCTGCGACTTCCTGTCCACAGGCTAGAAGCCCAAGACAGACTATGTGTGGTTCACGTCCAAATCCAGCTCTTGAACAGTTGGAGGCTCTAGTCTGAGAATAAAGGCCAGGGAATCTGAAGGTCAACACGTGCTGGAGGAGAAGGTAGGCAGGCTCAAGCCCAGAGTCCATTTCCCTGCTCGCCTTTGGTTGCTTTTAGCCTGAAGGGGTTGAGTTGAGCCCCACGCTCCTGAAGAAAGGCGTCGTCATCACAGACTTCTTTTCAGCAGTGACTCTCCTGTTAGCCTGTTTTGAAACTCTATTTTATTGTCATTTTTATTTTTCAGTTTTGGCTTTTTAAAATAAAAAAGGACTATCTTACTGTGTACTCTTTGATGTGCCCAGAAACGACACTCTTCAGCTGTCTCTTCACCCTTTAGCCCATTCATAGAGATGCGTTAAAGGATCCCTTTCAATTCTATGAATATTTTCATCCCTCGGTACTCCTTTGCACCTCCTTCAACAACACATTATATCAAAACACAGTTAATAAGAAAGCCTTAATTCTGCCTATTATGATACAACTATCTTACATACAACCTAGACTATGCTAGTTGTTTTCTAGAGGAAGAGGTACAGTTCTCCTAAGGTTTTCAGCCTTCCATTGATATACCATACAAAGATATTATTATAAAATTTATCATTGTAATTTTTCTCTCACTGCCTATGGGGATGGGTGACAAAACCCTATCTGTTGCAATCCATACATTGAAAGTGAAAACGTGGAATATGCTATTCCAAGCAAATGATATTAAAAAGCATGCAAGAGTAGCTGTAGTCATGACCAAAACCAGGCCAATGTAGTAAGTTAAATGTTGAGAAGAGACAAGGAGGTGGTTGCATATTGATGAAGGCAACAATCAGCTGAAAATTCATAGTACTGTAAATGCACATGAAACAAATATTCATGGACCTAAATTAATGAAATAAATACTACGAGAGAAAACAATACATATGTGTCCAAATACAGTATCAGAGTGAAGTGAATACCTTATATTTATCAATCGGACATCCATGACAAAATTCAAGTGAGAAACGTCGAAATTCAGCTGTACTGTAAAGCAAAAGAATCTAACAACATCTGCAGGACATTCCACCAAACAGCACCAGAATACACGTTATGTTCAGTATCTTATTAAACTTGTTCAAAAATAAGTCATATTTTAGGCAAGTCTTTTTTTGTGGTACTGGGAATTGAGGCAAGTGTTAAGATATACAAAATAAATGAAATTATTTCTTTAAACTTTTAAGCTCATGATAAATTAAAACTAGGAATCAGCAGTAAGAAAAACTACAGAAACTCTACAAATACGTGGAAATTGAACAACACATTTTTCAACAGATTAATAGTGTGGGGGGGCGATAGAATGCTCCTGTTATATTTTCCCTTATTTGGGCAAGAAGTGCTGCAGCACCAATCCCTGCTTGCCTCGACATCTTCCTGTGGTCCTGGACCTCCACTACCAATCCACAACTAGTCCCACCCAACTGCTTCCACTATACAGCTATTTAGACCCTGTTCACTTCCTCGATAAACGAGACTTGATCAGAAAGCCTGTCTTGTCTCCGTCTCTTGTGTCTCTTGCCCTGTCTTTTTCATCCCCGTTCCTCCTACAGGTCATTACCCACATCTCGACTCGCGGGCCGAGTCATAATAGAAATAGTGAGGAAATAAAAAATAAAGTATAAAATGGAAAGGAAACAATACACAAGCATCCAGAAGCTGTGGGCAAAGGCAGTTCTCTGAGGAAAGTTAAAGCTATGACTACATTTATTAAAAATCCAGTGATATCTCAGAATATTAACCTGGCAATATGTCTTGTGAACATAGAATTTTTTAAAAAAACAAACTCATGCGTGTAGCAACTCCCACAAGGAGTAAAACCGTTATGTCATGTGCACATGTACTAATAAAAATAAAATTTAAAAAGTAAAATTATAATATAAAACAACCTCAAAACCAGTAATGGGTAAGAGAGATCAGAGCTAAAATTACTGAAATAAATGTGAGAAATAGAAAGGATCACTTAAAATAGCACTTTATTCTGAAAAATTAAGCAAAACTGATAAACCCACATGCAAACTAACCAAAAGAAAATGCAGAATATCAAAATTCACAAAATTGGGTAAGAAAATACACACATTAAAACAACTATCATTCTAATCCAGAGGAACCTTACGGACTATTTTGAAAACACATATTCCAATAATTAAGAGATCTAGAAGAAATAAATACATTGCTGTAAACACATGACTTACCAAATTGACCAAAGAGAAAATTACAAATCTAAACCAATTTATAGCAAGAAATGAGACCGAGGCCATCACAGAAGGTATCCCAGCAAGGAAAAGTACAGGGAGGAATTCACGGCTGAATTTTACCTGACTTTGAAAGAAGACCAACGATGCTTCTTTAACCATTTATTCCATGAAGTCAATATCACTTATGTACCAAAACTGGGCAAGAACATGAAAAAGAAAACACAGACACATATCCTTTATGAATACAGATGCAAGTATGAGAAACAAAACGTGAGTGTCCACTCTCACCACTTGGATTCCATTTAGTAACAGTATTTGAAATTCTATCCAGAGCCACTAGACCAGAGAAAGAAGAGGGAGCCAAGCAGGAATGGGAGGAATCAATTTATCCCTCTTTGACGATAATAGGTTTCTCTAGCAGAATAATCGATACCTGGGTCAGGAATCAGGTAGCGTTTCTTTACTATAAAACACTCAAGCAAAGGAGGAGGAGTTGGACCTGTTGCTTAGCTGAGAGAACAGAGCCGGAGGAACGGGCCAGGTGACAGTGCGGTCAAGTGTGAGGAGAAGAAGCAACGTAAAAACTGGGTTTAGAATATGGTGTGTCCTCAAGGAAAGCCCTACAATCTTGGTAAAATGAGCTTTAGTGCTATAGAACCGAGACTGAACTGTACTGCGGGTCTTTATATTCAAGAAACAAATTTATTTAAAAAATCTATAAAACACTCAAAGTCCTTTGTTCGGCTCTCTGAGATGTAAGTTCATACTTAGCGTCTGTATTTATGAACCTTGAAATTAACTGCGCATCAGGATGCTGTACCCTTTCTTGCAGTTCGTTTAGTATCTGCTTCTCAAGCTCTCCCAGTCTGCCTTCCGGTGCTGCCCTCCCTGGGCTGCCGTAGCCTCCCTCCTAGTCCCCATGGCGTCCTACATTCCACACGCCAGTGCTGGTGCATGGGTTGCTCCTCTGTGCTTGTCTTATTTCGCTTGACGTAGTAATCTTCACTTTCATCCATGTGACCACAAATGACAGGCACTTAGGACCTTCCTCCTTTTCTGATGAACGCACTGAGTGATATAAACTTCCCTAGTAATTTCTCTCTTGATCTCTCCTTTAGGTTTTGCCATGTTGTCTATTTTCACTTATTTCAAGAATTTGTGAAAGTCTCCCTTGCATTTTCTTCCTCGATGCATTGATTATTCAAGAGTAATTCGTGCAATTTCTATGTGTCACTTAGTTTCAAAGTTTTTCTTGGTATTGATGTCATTGTGGTCAGAAAAAGACAATAATGATTTTAGTTATTTCATGTTTGTTAAGACTTGTTTTGTGGCCAATATATGCACTTTTCTTGAACATGTTTCAGAGGATGAGGAGAGAAATGTTCACTTTACAGCTTTAGGCCTACTAATAGCTCCTCCCGCTGTCTGGGCGCTGTCGTCGGGGCTGCATGTCAATTAGGCGTGTGATACTCTTTGGCGGAGTTGGTCCCTTTGTGATTATACTGAGTCTATCAAGATAGCTTTATGCGGGTCTAATTTAAATCTATTTCATCTGACGAAACTGGCTGCTTTCTTTTTTGAAGTCACTGTACGTTGAAGATTAATCTAATCGTGTCCCTTCATTTTTGCACATTCCTGTCAGTAAAAATGAAGTGGACTTCTTGCCAGCAAGGAATAGTTAGGTCTTGTATTTTAATCAAAATTCATTCATTCGATTACTTTACAAATACTTACTTGGAGAATTTAATTCACGCACATTGGAGGTCATTACTGATAGGGATTATTTGCTAACTTGTTTTCTAATTTTATGGTGTTTCCTGCTATTCTCACTCATACATTCTACTTCCATGGAATTGTGATTCATGTAGCAGTGTCCTATGATTCTTTGATTTGTATTTTGAGTTTGTGTGTCAGGGATTTTGTTTTGCAGTTACCATGAGGTATAAAAAAATCTTTAAAATAAGATGCTTTGATCTACTAAGCCTTTAACATTGATGTAAAGTTAAGAACAGCAACACAAAAAGGAGAAAATAAACAATAAAAAATTCTATGCTAGCACCCCCGAGCTCTCAGTACTCTGCATTTTCGCTCTCCTACTTCATGTCTTTCTACTTTGCTTATCTCTTAATATGTTAATGTGTGTATTATTAATTTTGATTGTGTCTTTGGTATTCTTGTGAAAGTTGTGAGTGGTTTGCACAATACTTGCTTAAGTATTAGAGCTTTCTGAATAGTTTTATTGTTGACAAAACTATTTGTCCAAATAGTTTTTATCTGCAGTGAATAGATCTGTTTCCTTTTTATCCTGTGACCAAATGCTTGACAGCAAAAGCTAACGGCGGAGACATTCACTTTCCGGGTTGGCTGGTTCTGACACAGACGTCTCCTGGCAGAAGAGAGCGGTAGACGAGCGCTGTTAACACAGTAGTCGCGTCCTATGTGACCTTTCTTTTTTTGGTATTTCTCCAGCCAGGAGAGGTCTTTTGAATAACTTGTCCATCCTTTGGGCATTCTCTAGCTCTTGAATCTCAGTCATTCATAAATTGCTTCTCTAAAATCTATCTTAGATTTCTTATAAGTTTTGTTCATTCTTCTTCAGTTTTGTTTTTTTCCTCCTCCGTGTATTTCTGAGCAGCGTGCGTTTGAGCTCATTGATTCTTGATTCTCAGCACCCTCTTTCTGCTTTTCATTCTGCCTTATGTATTTTACAGCTTGAGGGTTTCTGTTTAATGTTTTTTAGCCCCGCTTCCATCTGTCTGTTGTTGCTCTATTTGAGTATCGACTAACTTCTCTTGAATCTTATTCTGTACTCCTAAAACAGCGGCTTCAAATTTCGTGCCTGAGGTTTTGCTCGTACTAGTTCACACTGGTTCTCACCAGTTGAGTTTTTGACTCCAGTTCTTTGCCACTAGTTGTGGTCTTGGTTTCCTCATAGCTCATGCATCATCTAGGTCAAGACAAAAGTGTCCTTTCCTCTAGGATGTGGGACACCCTGGTTGAACTGAGAACTGGTTAAATACACACAACCCCAAAAGAAAACTGAAGCTAATATTTTTCTTTTCTTAAGTTGATTATCTTTGGTACTTGTAATGGAAATGTTTGTAAAATGATGATATTGAGCAAGGCGAGAGGACATAGGTAGATGATTTTAGGCAGGGCAGTCTCAGCAGATATGCCAAAGATGCATGGCAGGCAGAAAAATTCAACCCTCAAGAAAGTTCAGGTCCTACTTCCCGGACTTCATGAACAGGTTATCATGCACGGCAAAAGGACTTCGCTTCTGAGCTTATGTTGGGGGATAGGAGACTCTCCTGAGTTAGCTCAGTGTTCAAAGGTAAGCACAAAAGGAAGAAAAAAGAAAAACACAAAAGAGAGGAAAAGGAGAGATTCTAATGATGGAATTTCTGGCGAGAAGCAGGGCACAGGATGAAGGCGCAGGCAGACTCTACAAGCTGTAAGAAAAGCAAAGAGATAGAGCCCCCTCTGAGCCTCGCCGGGGTCACCACTGCCCACGCCTAACAGCTAATGCATGACTAAAGGCTGCGGCTGTCAACCTGTTGTCAGTTCTGTGCCGGCAGGCCGGGGACGCCACCCGTGTGAGACTGTTCTCATGTAAGAACAAAGCTATATATTGCCTCCCTGCTTTCAGCCTCACACCCTGGGCTGGCTTCCTCCTAATCTCCCTGAAACGTCATGTGTCAGTCTTTTCCCAGTCACCGCCTTTATCCCCACCCCTGGCCCTCTCTCCTTCACTGTGTGCTATCTTCGTAGCAGTTTACAGGCGTGGACATTTTGCAAATGATATTGTCTTGGGTTTGACAACGTTCCACTCCAAATGACATTAAACACAAAAGGTAGAAGAAGTGATGCCTAAGGGTGTGGCTTCACAGCAGAGAGGGTCAAATCCATTCAGTTCCAAGAGGTGCAAGCGAGGGTTTTGGGTGAACGCCAGCAATTTGCCCTGCATAGCTGCCTCAGGGGAGAGACGGCAGGAAGGCAGCGCTTGGCCTGCTTTCTGTACTGTATCTCCACGTAAAATGAATACTTTTGATCGCTATCTATCTTCTGCTAAAATTGATGTTTCTGTGACATACACTTTAAGAACAAAATAGACGTAGTTTTTATTTATTTGTTCATTTTAGAGAGAAAAAAGAAAATAGCAATGAAACGGTTTCAAAACAGGCTAGTATGAGAGTTACAATGATTAATACACTGCATATTGTTGTCTTGTGTGAGAAAAAATATATATGTATATACAAGATGGTTTACATAGACATACAAATACTTTCTCTTAGTTCATTGAGAAGAAAGTTTTATACTAATATTATTTAGACAAGATATCATGTCTGCCTCTTGTCCTCTGAAAAATGTAGTTTCTTGAAGTGGAAAATTTAATGGTCAAAATGCTTCAACATTGAAAATATCTTTAATATTTGAACAAAAGATGTCTTTCATAAGGGGGTAGTGATCAGAGTCTCAGCCTCTTTCCATAGATGACAGTCAAACACTTCCACCACCTGTAACAGGCTTCCTAAGTCTCTTAGTATCTTGTATTTATTTCTAAAATGTGTTCCTTTCAATGTTATTCTTTGCAATTTACACTTGTTATTATGGGAGATAAGATGTTAAAAATATAATTAAAATGTCTACACTGACACCAAGGGAATTGCTAACCATGTATCACTACTTTTTAAAAGAGTAGTGTGTTATCTTATAAGATGACATGGAAACCCTGAAGTGAAGAGAGCCATGGCTTTCAGTTCACATTAGCGGGAGTGCACAGCCTGGGCTGCGGAGGAGCCTCTGCAGAGCGTCCTTCACATCCCTGTTCCTCAGGCTATAAATGACAGGGTTCAGCATTGGTATCACCAGTGTGTAGAAGACAGAAGCTGTTTTGTCAGTGTCCAGGGAGTGGTTGGTCCTGGGCTGCAGGTACATGAAGAGGAGCGTCCCGTAGAACACGGTGACAGCGGTCATGTGAGAGGCACACATGGAGAAGGCCTTCCGTTGCCCCTCTGCAGAGCGTATTTTTAAAATGGCAAAGATGATGTTGAAGTAGGATACTAGGACAATAATCATGGAGAAGAACAAGTTTGTCCCAGAGAAGACAAATACCACGGTCTCTGGAGTGGAGGTATCAGAACAGGATAATGCCAGTAAAGGGACATTGTCACAGTAAAAATGGTTGATTATGTTGGCAGAACAATAAGACACGGAGAATACAGAAGGTGTAACCACCAGAGCTGTGAACAGGCCATGGAGGTAGGTGAGGGACACCAGCAGCAGGCAGACCCGCCGCGACACCACCGCCATGTAGAGCAGGGGGTTGCAGATGGCCACGTAGCGGTCATAGGCCATCACGGCCAGCATGAAGATCTCAGCCACGATGAAAACCAGGAATCCTGCCAGCTGGGTGGCGCACGCATAGTACGAGATGGTTTTCTTATTTGCCAAGAAGTTGCTCAGCATTTTAGGGGCGATGACGGTGGAGTTGCTGAAGTTGATGACAGCCAGGTGCCGGAGGAAGAAGTACATGGGGGTTTGCAGCCGGGAGTCCACGCTGGTGAGGGTGATGATGCCCAGGTTCCCTGCCGCCGTCAGCGCATAGATGACCAGGAAGGTGAGGAAGAGGGGAACCTGCAGCCCTGGGCTGTCAGAGATCCCCACGAGAACGAACTCGCGCACCTGGGTGTGATTCCTAGCCGCCATTTAAACCTTGATGTGTTCATCTTTTAATGGTAAAGATGTCAAGATAGAAACAGACAGCATGATTATTTGTGGTTAGACAATTGTGTTTTTCAGTGTTACGCATGTCATCCTAACACTTAAAATGAAAGAACACTTACTTGTTGTTCTTCCCATCTTTTCACAAACTTCAGATGTCAAAACTCACGGGACACAACTGAGTTTCTTAGAGCTGTTTGGATAAGTTGTTTGCTCATGGTTGGATATAGCTTAGATTAGTGAATCAGTATGTTTCAGTATATTGTGTATTAATGTCTCGTGGAGATATTGACTATAGAAACGCGTGACATTAACGTGTGTACATTAGACATGGGTGCACGCAGGCGTATCTGTGCTGCCAGGGGCCAAGGAGAGCGCTGTCTCGGGACCACCAGCCAGAGTGACCTCCTGCTGCCCTCTGCTCGGCTCCCGCGGGAGTCTTGCAGCTTGCCTGCGGCCCGCCCGCCCCGGGGATTTCAGTGTCTGTCCGGGAGCAGTTCCCATGCCTCTGCTTAGTCCTTTATCTCACCTTATTCTGCGTCCTGGGCCTGCTAAAGTGGGCCTACTCTTGGGCACTCATCGTTCTTGGCAGCTTTTTGGAGCTCTAAATTCTCTTCCATTTCATTTCTTCTGCCACAAATAAGCTGGTCTCCTATTACTTTGACCTCTCTTTGCACACGAATCTGCTCTTACACATTTATTTCAGCAGCATGCTGTGCCTGTGGATGCTCTTCATCTTTTGCTCGCTTGAAATCAGCTTTAACTTTTAAATAACTTGCCTGCAGTATTTCCTTGTTAGAATCTGAGAGCTTGATTCATTGTATGAAATAATCAATGGAGGAGATTTTTAGTCCGTACATAGCATGCCATGTGTGCCCGGAATTATGACAAGAGCGTTGGAATGGCCATCTCGTTCTGCAGAAGAGCTCCAGCCTGCGTGCCCGATGAAACAGCTGGGACTCAGTAAGACAAAGTGATCTGAACATTGGTGTGAAATGTTAGTGTTAGAGGCTCTTCTCACTCATCATATTTTGGTTCAATATGCATTTTTTGTTGACTGTTGTTTTTATCCCATTAATAGTTTTATGATTTGCATCAATTAATCTTATATTGGACTAATTTAAGTGGTGCACTGCATATATCCAATATTGACATTATCTTCAGGAAAAGGCTTTAGGTTTCTTTGAAGAATTTTTAACTTAGTTTCTTCTTTCTTTTTCTTTTTCTTTTTTTTTTTGTATTTGAGTACAGGGTCTACAGGGTCTCACTACATAGATTGGACTCATAGTGACCTGCCTATGTTCAGCCTCTCAAGAGCTGGGATTGCAGGCATGCACCACCATGCCCAGTCTCAATCGCTGTCTCAGGGTGCCCAGGGGTGGGGCTGGCAGGGCACACCAGGGATCGACCCCAGCCGCTGGGTCTGCCTAAGCAGGCACTTTAATTAGTTTCATATTTCAATTCCAGCAACTTGCTGCATTTTACTAAGGGCCTTTACATGTCAGTTAGGCATACCAAGTGAATTAAAATATTACATATTTAAATGTTAGGTTATATTTTACAATAATTGGAAGAGGCCACTCTTTACAAACTCATAGAAATGATAAAT